CAACTTTAACACTGCTTCTTTTCCTCACGAACTCTTGAGATATATACACCGCAACTTTAACACTGCTTGCTTTCCTTACTGACTCTTAAGGTATCTTCACGGCAACTTTAATACTGCTTCTTTTCTTACTGTTTCTTGGGATATATACACTGCAACTTTAACACTGCTTCCTTTCCTTACTGACTCTTGAGATATTTAGACCATAATTTTAACACTGCTTTCAATCTTTCTGACACTTGGGATATATACACTGCAACTTTTGAAACTGCTCCCTTTTTTTGAGTCCTGAGCTTGAAATACGGCTACTTTAAAAGTGTTTATTTCCTTACTGGCCCTTGAAGATACATTTATTCTTGAAAGGGACAGATAACACGTTCGAAACGTTTTTCTTTCCTGATACCATTAATTTTAACAGCTTGGTAAGCGTAATGATTACAAATAATGAATTTGTGTCATTCTGTAAGAACCCGTTTGCAGCCAGTTTTTTGGCCTGATTTTCCTCATTTTATGCGTTACCTTGTACATGTGCCTTTTGTTCGGCTTTATATAAGGAGTGCTCTCAGTTTAAATCCTTTCGTTAGGGCCCCAAGTTTGGCTCTTGTGTAATCATATCATTTGTGATACTGGAGCAATTTGTCAAAGAAAGCGCGGTAACCTTTCGATCACTGCTTTGTTGTTAGTTTTCGTTTTTTAGTAAGTTGTTGTATTGTTACGTAGCATAAGCGCGCGCCGACTGTTAATGACACGCGCAGAGTAGACTTGTACCCAGTCGCGCTATACGTGTTTTCTGGGAAGAGATGACTTGACACTAGGATGGACTGAGGCGAGCGGGGTGTCATGGGAGGAGGTAAGGGAAAAATATATTCTGCGCGCACAGTGCAATCTATTCATAGCTCAGTTGACCATCTATGCACTATGGAGATCACGAGGTGATATGGGATAGATGCAGATTTACGTCATTGAAAGAAAGTGAACTAAATCATCCTAACTTTTCACTCTTTATCATCTCTCAAAGTTTGCTGAGCGTGAAGCCCTGGGTTCGAAATTGTTGTAACTTGTTCCCAGGAATTTGCGGTTTTTCAATATGGCGGATGTATCAACTACGGGGAGAGAAACTTTTTGTTATTTCTATAGGCTTGCATTAATATAAAAATGCCACGTGAACGTCTGATTTTCTACGATTAATGTCAGTAGAATATATTTCAATTAATTTGTCATCGGAACTAAGCACAGAAAGATGTTACCGGTGATCTTTACACTGAGGTAAACTAGATGTCGAGAAACGACTTTCGTCCAAAGACGTTGAAATTTGCGAGAAATAATCCAACTTTGAGAAGTCTGATGGCTGACTCTCAGAAGTTGAAGCTCAATCACTCCATAATATCGATTTCTAATGGTGGGAGCGGAGGAAATTCAGACGGCCGCAAAGAGCTTGTTGTCCTGGGAATCGCTCTAGATTCACTTCCGAAGTCAGCCCAGTTCTTTGTTTGTTGTGGTGGAGTTTTCGTATTTTATCTGATATATGGATATGTTCAGGTAAGAAATGAGACAATATGTCTGTATAACCCCATATTTTATTATGCATACAGTTTTTTTTATTTTTATTTATTTATTTTTTTAATGAAGAAAACAGAGCAGTAAACAATAGTTCACCTCTGGGACGAATGCTTTGTTTAAGAACACGATAGGGTTTTAGTGAAATCTTTCCGAGGAATGACATTAGGTGCTAAACTTATGTAGAGAGAGATGATTTTTTTCTACTTATCACGAGCGTGGGACAAAGTGTTACAGCATCGGAACGCGGAATCCGAAGGTCTGAGGTTCGATTCCTCATGGGGACTCAGAATATTTTCTCTCTCTTACGCTCGTGACAAGACGAAAAAACATCTTTCTCTATTTTCTTACCGAGCTCAAAACTTGCCATCTCTTTTATTCTTTTTGATATTATCTAGTTCTAATTTGGAAATTGAGGCTTTACCAAAAACTCTCAAACAAATCTTTTAATCAGCTTCTAGTAATCCTTTAGTGAGTCTCCCCCCCCTCCCCATACCAACTATGACTTTGTGATACGCCTTGCCTCTTGCTACCAAGTCACCTCTTTGTCACCCCTCTTTTCCTTTTTTTACAATTTCCCCCTCCTCCCTCTCCCTCACTAAAATGCCTCATTCTCTAATAAGCCCCTTATAACTTCTAAAAATATTTATTTATCACAAAACCATGAAGGTGAGCCACTGTGCTCTCATCAGGAGATAAATGACCACATTTTGTGTATGAGAGCATAGTTCCCTCCCTCTCCCTCCCCCCCTCCAGACTGGGACGTGGTCATGGTAAAAACTACCAGTTAGTCTGCCATATTTCACCTCATTATACAGTATATAATGAAGTGAAATAAATAATGAGGATAAAAACAATAATTATTGAAATACCATCTAGGAAATTTGCACAGCAGCACTATTTTCCAAGATTAAAAGAATAGAATGCATATTTGACTAGTAACAGGTTTAGATGTGTGAATTGACTACATTTTCAGAATTGTTGGAAGGTTCATGCACACTTTGTGGAATGCTTGAGACATATCAGTATAATACCATGTTGTTTGTAATGTTACAAACAGCATGGTGTCCACAGCAAACTGGCCTTCCACTACTTTCCTTCAATTTTGAAACTTATTGACAGTCTTGAGTTCTGATCCTTTAGAATTTAGAGACCAACTGTTTTCTTATTTCTTAAACAGGAATGGATCTTTAGAACAGGAATGAAACCATTTGGTTGGTATCTCACTCTTGTCCAGTTTGCTTGGTATTCAATATTTGGAATATTTGAAACCAGCTTTAAAAAAGACAAAACAAGAAAGTAAGTATAAGGAGTTATTACCCTTTAGCCTTAACTAAATGAAGGTATCTAAACATTTAGCAGTTATTGAATTCAGTTTTGCTTGATTTCATGAATTAGCAAAACTGAGGTCCAAGGTTATCTGTTGAAGCAAAGGCTCGGTTAGAAAACTCGGACACAAGGTTTGATAATTCATGATGTTGTGCAAAATACAAATTCTTTTCATTTTATCAAAAACAACACCTCTTTCTGAGTTTGTGAAAGGTTGAGGACTCTACATGGTCAAAGGGCTTGGAAACTGGGCAGCCTTTGAACTTGACTTATTCCACATATCAGTTCAACTTCTGATGCTAAATTTGTATATTTGATTGAATGCTCTCAACCAACAAATTTTTCATATTGAGTCTTAAATGTATGATAACATTTATCCTTGTCCTCTTCTTGTTTGCAGAATTCCTCTGAAGACATATTCACTTTTAGCATTCTTGACGGTGGCCACAATGGGACTCTCTAATACATCTCTTAGCTATTTAAATTATCCTACACAGGTACAGGAATCATAATGAATTTTAAAATAAAAATAATTTAAGTTTCATTGTCGCTATATTTTATTAACTCCTTAACCCTTTAACTCCCAGAAGTGATCAACCTGTCACTTCTCCCCAGAGTATCCTTACATTATCCAGCAAACAAGCAGTGAGAATACTCAAACTTATCAGGTACAGGATATTATCTTGATCAAATACCAAATTCTCCTAACCAATTTACAAGAAAATGTGTGGCAGGTAGATTAGAGAATTAACAATCGGATCTTGGGAGTTAAAGGTTAACATAATTCACTTCAAATTGAGAATCATTAAGCAAGATAATTTCCAATTTCTCTGCGATGAAACCACTAATTTCAGGCATTATTGAAACAGTGCAGAGTAACCCTTTGTCCTCTAAGGGTGATAAGCATCTGATTTCTCCTTACAATATCACCACCAAATCACACATTAAGGTTACAAGAATAAAGGAAATGATCACCAACTAAGGAAGCTCTTAATTGTTGATTAAAACAAATTCTCCTTGTCAGCAGCTTAGGAAATGTATAGAGAACAGTATGGAGAATATGCATACTGATGTTAGGGTGTAAAGGGCTAGATTAAGTAACTCTAATTTATTAAATTGAGAAACTATTGGCTCAAAGGTTTCTAAATTTGCCCCTGATAATTTTCATTGATTTCAGGTCATTTTTAAATGTTGTAAGTTAATTCCAGTGATGATCGGAGGCATTATTATACAAGGTAATAATAAATTGTGATTGATAAAATGTTGCCAGGAATTGAGACATAACTATAAGACAGTTGCTTTAGCCATCATTTTACAAAGACTTTTCTGAAAAATATTTTCAGTAGTTATGATTTAATTAGGCTCCATTTCAGAATAAATGGCAATGCTTCAATTCAAAGAAGACTGCTTAGAAAGTTTTTCTTTGTCTGTAGGAAAATCCTACAGACTCCTTGATTTTCTGGCTTGCCTGAGTATGAGCATTGGCTTAATACTCTTCACCTTAGCAGACAGCACTGTCCAACCGGAGTTCAACCATACTGGTAAGCTGTAGTTTCCATATCTCATTTGCTCGGAAGATTGGGCACCACTTCTCACGTCATCAACCAAAAATAAATAATAATAATAATAATTATTATTATTATTACTATTATTATTACTTTCTAACAATCTTTATCTATAAGGCAAGTCATTATCTGGGTTATTCATAGTGAAATAAAGAGGATGCCTGCTTTGAAAAGTTTCTTTTTCTTAGGGGTAGTTTTGATCTCAATGGCCCTGTGCGCTGATGCTGTTATTGGGAATGTACAAGAGAAGGCCATGAAGGCACACAAGAGCTCAAACACAGAAGTGGTAAGTGTACACATTTATTTGCAAAGACTCATTTTTCAAGATAATTTGGTTGTAACAAAAATCTGACAAATTATGAGAAATTGATGTTTGATAAAGATTACACTTTCTACCTG